TTTCTCTTTCATAGTTTACGATCATGTGTCCGCTACCTGGCCTCTGCCTTACGCTCGCTCGTCCTCCTCTCTGCGTTCTTTTAGACTATTCTACCTCATTTCCTCGCCGACATGCCCTCCTACCCTCTCGGACTTCGTTGCTACGACGCCTGCGCCCTCATGTATATATTCTAGCAGTCTTTGTGCTCTATCTACAGTTTCGACGCCCCCACACAGCGCGTGCTACTCACCCCAAGCTCTCTGTCCGTCTGCCGCCGCCGCCTCCGCGTTCAGCCCTCCGCCTTCCGCACCTCAGCCTTCAGCCGCCGTCCGTCTCGCCTCAGTCGTCCCGCCGTCCTCCGCATCGTCTCCGCGCTCATCGCGCTTCTTCTGTCTTCTTCACGCCCTCTTCTTCTCCTCTCGCGCCGGGCCGACTTCCCGTGGTACAAGCTCGACGGACTCGCACGCGTTCCCTCGCACCACCCCTTTCGCGCGCCCTCCGGCGTTAGCGTCCCATCAACGCACGCGATCGAGCCTCGCTAGCCCATCGACGTCGCCGGCGTGGAGTAGCCGACCAAGACCAATGCACTGTTGGACAGAGGCTGGCGTGATATCGTCGTTTGGATGCCATGATGTGTGATCTTCAGCCCTTCGGCGCCTCTCATGGCGTACGCGAGATCGAACAGGATCACCCTATCTCCGTCGCCATCTCCTCAATATTCAATCCTGCCACTCCCAAGGCAAACGATCAAAGACCCCCAACTTGTGGAGCGGTAAGCTCGAGAACCCTTGTTCCCGACAGCGAGCATGATCTTTCTGCGCAGGCCATAGTCATCCTCGCACGGGACGAGGACGTGAGGTCCACTCTCCTCTCCATTCATCTAGATAAGGCGGAAGGCGCAACCCCTATATACTACAATGTATCCTATTGACCGTCCCCAGGCGCTCCCCCGAAATCCCTCCTTCGCTCCCTTCCCCATGGCGGACGCCGACGACCGGAGTCCTTCTCCAAATGGATTTGTGGACCGCCCCTTTGGTGAGGATGCACAAAGCATTCACCGCTGCGAAGCCTCCAGACACCCCAGGTGAGTGCTCGAGCGGCTGGTCCGGAGTTCAAGGAAACGACCCCCCCTCAGGCCAACCCCCTACCCGGAATGCGTGATATGCAAAGACGCGATCTACGGGCATGCGGTAACGATACCGTGCGGCCATGCTCTCGACGTCGTCTGCCTACGCAGGATGCATCAGGAAAAACCCAAATCCATAATGAGATGTTACTGAGGCTTGTGAGGGCTAATGAGCCAGATTATCGTGTTATTCTGAAGTATTGTTTTTCGCTTACCCATCTGCTAATGAGAGACCATTACACGGAGAAGGAAACATTAGTCGCGAGAGCAGGCCCTCACCAGGCGTATTTAGTCTCACTCATGTCCGTAGATCACTTATTCAAGCACAGGATATCGAACAATAGCACTGATCATACATCATAGCGCAAACATGAACATTGATTCAATATCTAAGGTGTGTGCACAGGGAGAACGGAAGATGGAGAAGCTATGTACCAACGAGGGCGCTAGACCCGGCGCGTGCGCACGAGCGACAGAGCACGTATACGAACGCCGCATCCCGAAGCACGCGCGGGAAGAGCAGATACAGTACAACGGGGGAGCGGTGGAGATCGTAAACGACAAGAATGGGATGGGAGTAGAGGGAAGAGGGTGTGGTTATACGTAGTCCGATCGGGGAGGTCCCGGCGCACGCGTTCCTAGCGGAGGTACTCCCCATTGCAAGGGCGCGTGGACCTCCTTCGCGAGGTATGACCAGTCGAGCCCGAGCGCAAATACAGTGTGCACGCGCACGGGCGCCCTTCTCGAGCTCTTCACGCACCGTCCATCTGCCGGTCCTCTCGCGGACCGCATCAAGTGCGCCACCCTCGACGGCGCACGAACGTGCCCTCCCCTCATGCACGAGGCCTGAGGCCTTGGGGATGTCCTTCCGCACCTTGCCCTTCTTCGAGCCGCCGCCGCCGCCGCACTGCCCACGCCCCGGCCCGTCAGCCGCCTGCATCCGGACCCGCCCCGTCCTCGCTCTTGCGCTAGAGACAGCAGCGGGCGGGTCGTCGACCTTAGAGACGACGAACAGCGGGACCGTGTGCGAAGTCGCGGCGGTCGTGTGCTGTCAGGCGCCGACAAGTGTGTGCGCGCCGAAGACGTGCAGCGGAAGACGGCGGGAAGGACGCTGGCGCTCGTGCTGTCGCCGCCGCCGCCCGCTGGCCTGTGAGACCGGGATATGGACGAGGACGAGGCCGTCACCGGGGTGGGGGCGGGGGCGGAGCGCGTACGTACGCCAGGCCTGTGCGTATCGCTCGGGGGTCTGTGCGTGCGTGTAGGGGGATGCAGGGGAGGAGTAAAGCGGGAAGAGAGATGATATAGGCTTACAGCGAAGGAGGAGGGGTCAGGGCACACATGGGGGAAAAACAGGTCAGCAGAGGAGAACCAATGAGTAAAGTACACTACCTCACCGGTGACGAAGATATTTGTGATCCCAGAGCACGTCCACTCGATGTCGATGTCCGGGTCAGTGGGGCTTGCCGCGCAAGAGTGCGCGTTGTTTGACTTGTACTCTTCGTCATCCTCGTTCAAGACGGAAATCGATAAAAGAACTCGATCCGTCCCTCGCGCTCTTCAGTACAGAGCAAGCCCTGCCCATCTGAACCTTTGCTGGGCACGAAATGACCCCCAGACAAAAGTGGACACGCGCCGCTGGCTGCGCCCTCCACATGCGGCGGCAGTAAGCACAAGCGCGGTGAGCAGGGGCACAGGCAGGAGATCGCGACGGGGGCACTCACAGATTCCCGAGATAGAGGAACGGGAGACGGATGGACCGTGTGGGACACGTTGACCTCAGGTGGAGGGGTGGACGTCGACAGCAGCGTGATCTTGGAGACTAACCTGGCAAATTAGTGGCCCAAGGGAGCCCACGGAAGCGCGGGACGTACCTGCGGCGCCACGCGGCGGCGAAGGAAGAGTTCTGGGGCTCATTGTTGCCCTCAAGGCCGTGGAGGGAAGGGACGAGGATGTAGTCCAGGGCGCGGCTGGTGAGGCGGGCGAGGTGGAGAACTGAGCGAGGTGGAGAACTGAGCGAGGTGGAGAACTGAGCGGCAGAGAAAACAACGATAGGGAGTTTGACTGAGGAGGATGGAGGAGGGGGAAGGGGAGAGGGGAAGGTGGAGAAGGTGGAGGTGGTGGAGACTGCACGGAGCGGGATGCAGGCCTGGGGACGCGCGTCGCGCGTTGAGCATGGGCGCTAGTCTGCGTCCCGTGGTCGCGTCCTCGGCGCGTTCACCGCTCTAAGTAGATGAAGTTCACGTTGTCTTCTCGCCTCCTCCGAGCTCCCTGCCGCACCTCGTTCCCAGCATACCGTCCTCGACTGTTCCTCTAAACTCTCCAAGCTTCCGCGTGTTATTGCGCACTTTGACTGCCACGACCACCATCTAGCTTCGTCCCCTCTGCCTCTCCATGGCTGCCGTCTCTGGTCCCACTCGTTGTTCAAAGCCTGCAGTCCGGCCCTCTGGCTCGAGCTCGCACTAGGTGGCCGTGAGTCCCCATTGCTATCCTCATTGCCTACACACCCAATGAACATGACTGCATACCTGCATCACCTTCGCCACCCTCTACCTCCTTCGACGACCAAAAGCCCGCTTCCCCGCGTGCGAGGGTGGTCAGGTCGTCGCTCATTTATCACCTCCTTCATTACAGAAATCAACTGCGATGACACCCATTCCAATAATCGGTGGGCCATCGTCGGCCAGGGCATGTTCGCACTTCGTGAGATCAACCAGATAGAAAGGGAAATGCGCTCCTACCTCCAGTGGCTGCTCAACATCGAGCCCTCAGCCCTCAAGGAGTTCGAGCCCAAGCCCCGACGCGACTTCAAGGGCTCCGGGCCGTATCCCACGTACGTTCTTCCATCACCCGCGCCATCATCAAGGGATTCTACTACCCCCTACATTGTCGCGTCTGCGCCACCACACGCATCCACAAACAAGACGAAGCAACCGCCTACCACTTCGTCGCCCAAACCCATTTCCCCTCCCGTTTCCGTCCACGCTCATACCCCGCCGTAACGCGCGAGCTCCTCGCCTGGCTCACATGGCGTGCCCGGCACCCCGGACGCCCCAGAGTCGTCGATGTCGATGTCGAAATCCCCGGCGTTGAGTAAATCACTGCCGGGTCCATGTCCCTCGAGATTCTCTACTACCAGATGCTGGACGCGATGTAGTCATCGACTCGCGGGCGCGCCTGGGCGAGCGCGACGCCTGCTTCCGCCTCGATCCGATCGTCGTCGGCTGTGACGCCACGTTCAACACCTACACCCAGCTCGCCCCGGGTGCGGTCATCCCCAACAGCGCGACTTAAGGCCCATACATGTCCTTGCACGCCGACCCGTCCCCTGACCGCCACGCGCAGCACAACTGCGCGGTGCTCCCACTGAGCGTTTCTGCGCGAACTGTATCCGTCCAACACGCGCTGCGCACGCATTCCACGAGCAACGTCGTGATCACTGCGCCTGATTCGCCGAACTACGTGTTGCTGATTCCGCACCGGCAGGTCTACCCGTCGGGCTGCAACGCCCCCGCCTCGTTGCCCACCGCACCTAGCCCACGACCGTGTTCGTCGCACAAGGCACGGTTGTCGCAGTACTTAGACCCGTGAAGCGATACTAGTGTTCTGTATGATCTATGTGTGCTGTTGTGTGAACAGCGGACCGGAAGTCATGCATCATGCACCGTCGCTGCTACTCGTCAGGATCCAGCCGAAAGTATTATTATGGTCTAACTACATGTACAGATATCCACTACACTCACTCAAACACGTTAAATTATACCTCATCCACCATATAATCGACCAGAAGGAAGGTGATAGTGTCTGTAAACTGCGGTGAGTTGGAACAGCGGCAGTATTTTGGCGTATATCGGCTTACCAATATTTTACCTCTCAATAGGGATTTGGGTTTTTCCTGATGTGTTCCAGCGCACCACGCAGGACGAGTCGCTCTTTCCCCCGAAGTGCTGCCGGATCCCGCTCGAGTTCGCCGCGGTACAGAAGCACCTCCCTCTGCCCCTCTGCGAGCGGTACGCCGACAAGCGGCGCGAGTACACGACCTCGGACCGTGTCTACTGTCACACTCCGACATGCTCCGCCTTCCTCGGTCCCCGCCAGAAGGCCGCCGCGCCCGCCGCCAGAGGACTCATGAACATTCTCTTCCGCATCACGTTCTGGCCCCTGATCCTTTTCCTGCGCCTCTTCATCTTCACGAAGACGGTCGTCGCATACACCTGCGCGAACTGCGGCGCGCGCACCTGCGCACGCTGCAAACTGCGCGCGCACACGGAGGGCCGCACATGCCCCGCGGTGGACACCGAGAGGGTGCTTGCGATCGGGCGCGCGCGCGGCTGGAAGCGCTGCCCTGCGTGCGGCCACCTCATTGAGCTGATCGCGGGATGCTCCTGCGTCCGGTGCCCGTGCTGGCAGAATTTCTGCTACCGGTGCGGGGCGCCGTGGGGGACGTGCCGCTGCCACCTGCCGTACTGGAATGTGGGACAGCCCCAGTTCTAGAGCGCCTGTAAACCGATCTGGGTTTACAGCTCGTGACCTACAACGAACTTGCGATTTCTTACTGCACATGATATTCATGTACGAGAATTTGTGGCGAATATTCGATTGATGAAATCAAAGTAGTAGCCGTATATACTGGCAAGTGCACGTCTTCTGGCATCAAAGGTAGTAAGCCACCAGATCCGCAGACTGCACCAGCACCAGACCCCACCCCTCCGTGCGCTCTACGAGGCACCCGTACGCAGGGAAGCGCTGCCATTGCCGTGCGCGCCGATCGCGAGTACGTCTCGGTGGAGGTCGGGTGTGTAGCATTATAAACCTGGGTACTCGCGCGCCGCAGATCCGACAGGTGTACTACGCGGGGTCAGTCACTGCGAAGAGGCCAAAAGCAAGAAACTTGGGCCATAACATGACGTAAAGCAGTATAGTACGTGCACATCGCGGGTCCACTGTAAGGGGCGCGGTAGTTTGAGAGCCGAGGAAGGCGGGGTATTTCTGGGAGTGGTACGTAGTAGACGCGATCCGTGGTCGTATACTGGCGCTGCTTGTCGGTGGCCCCACCGCGCGTGGAGGGGCGACTGGATGTACTGCTGAACCGCGGTGAGCTTGAGCTGAACAGTGGACCCTGGGGCTGGGCGGATCGATCCCATCTCGCGCCGTACCAAAATACGGCCTGGGCTAAGTAGGAACATCAAATCCGCCGTCACAATGAACAAGTTACGTCGTTTTCATCACCTTTGCTCTTCTGGGGTGGTGCCGCCGCTGCGCAGCAGCACTGTTAATCCGCATTCACTGCGGACCAGCCAGTGTGTGCCATTTTAGCTCGTGAACATCGACTCGTGCGGTCTGCTCATTCTTCGACATGGATAATCGTGCAACAAAGTTCCTGGACCCCCACTGCTTTCACCGAAGAGGCCCATCTGTTTAGCACGGTCGCCCTCGTCCCCGATCTATATCGCTGCCACCGGAGCGAGGAAGAGTAAGCCATATATAACGGATTCTGTAGCAACCCTTCGATCAAATTTCGCGCCTTGAGCAAGAGGAAGTTGTGGTCTGTGGAGGAGGAGGAAAGCGAGCTGGGCCGGTACTTTAGTAATCTCCGCTGTAAAGAAACACTTGCACGTGATGTGGCGAAATCGAACATCGGCGCTAATAGGCTGTCCCTTTCGTCATCCACCGCCACTAGTCAGATCTCCCTGCGCCCTAGCGTCTCCGCCGCCTCATCTCCCCTTCGCCGCACAACATGTCCGTTCACGTCGGTGGATTCTGGCTTCCATCCAACGCTGTCCATCATCTGCTCATGAAAGCCTACGGCCTGGCCAACGTCACTCCTCAAGACGCCCCCTTCGCCGCAAGGCTTTACTTCGTCGACAACGACTACCTCAATTGCCCCAGCCTCATTGAACATCACATCCGGAAAGAATCTGGCAAACCTGTCCAAGGACACGTCCTTGTGTGTCGTTTGGCGTTCGTCGACGACGGCCTTGAAGTACCAGATCTCTCCCTCGATCAGAGTGCGATAGCGTGCGCCGACCACTGGTTCCCACCTTGGTTGCGCAACCTTGAAGTCTTCAAAGACGTTCGGTACATACAGTACGAGTATACCGGATACATCAGTGCGTATTACGTCCAATCGGCACCACCACCTATATTCACATCCGCATAGCTATTCCAATCATCTATTCTAAGGAGACGGAGTATAACTGGACACCACAACGAAAGCGTCGTCCGGGAATGCCCGATTGGCTGCGGAAGCGTCACGAGTGGGGTCGCACTTTCACCTACGTGGTAAGCCATTGACTTCATATGTGCCACCTATTTGCTAAGTATATTAGCCTCCGGGTGTGCCTGCCTTGTATATCTATGACGAGGACGACGGTGCCGATACTGACTCGGACTCCGCCCAACCATCCGTAAGCACTCCCAACCGTCGTATGTTCTGCGATGGAACTCATGTTGATCGCATCACAGGGAGCAACCCCCTCACCTTGGGCAAGCGTCCAGCATCCGCGTCGCCGTGTCGCCGGCGCATCCAACTAGCCAGATATTGCGTCTCCGCTCTTTTTACTCTTCATGTATCCTTATTGACATTTATTCACCGCTCTTTCTCCACCACCCCATCCGATATCGTTGCTTGCACCAAGAACCGTCTGTTGTCCGGTACCGCTGACTCGGATGGCACCTAATGACCGCCTACTTAGCTGCACCACGCCGTATCTCTCCGTTCTCATATTCACCGTTACCGCGCTGAGCCGTGCAGCACAAGGCGTTCCACAATTTACCGCACGTTTCCGCGTCCGCATATACTATAGCAGAGCGTCGAGCGGATCGTCGTGAAGCAAAGGATGTACATGCAAAAGCTCGGCCGCTCGGCCCGTCACAACGTCGACGATGGCGACGACG